AAAGCTGGCTAAAGAGGCAAAAGAAAAAATGGCATATTTATAGGCGATAATCAAAATCATACCACGTGACCAGTTTTGATTGTCGCCCATAAATATGCCGTTTCTTTTTTGCCTCGTTGGCCTTATTTTCCCTGACGATCCGCTTAGGTGAAACCTGTGTAGGATTGTCTGGCTCGCTAGGTTTATCTAGGTCTGCTCTACGGTTGTATTGAGCTCTTTTGTTAGTTGTTTACTCGTATCGGGTTTTTTTCTTTGGGCTTTGAACCTGTATCTGTGCAATTTTTTTCGACAGACTTTCATGTTCCTGGCTCTTCCTTTTTTTAAAACCTTTTTTTCCTTCGAGATTGATTTGATTGTTGGCAAATCAAAAATTCGAAGGTTTTTCGAAACGAGTATAGTTACCTATATATATATATATATATATAGATAGATAGATAGATAGATAGATAGATCGCTTCCAGCCACTTCCAAATAACAAAACGTTAAATATATATTGTTGATTTCATTTTGGATCAGGCCGCGTACTTTTCGTCAGCCGTTCGTTTATATATAATAGTATAAAAACAATCAGATAAAAAGTAATATAAAAAGTTAATGCAGTTTGCTGTACGTCTGACAGTTTTTTCCTTCGTGCAAGAGTCGTTACGTCTGCATTGTTCAAAGTTTTATTTATATTTGACACTATCTACCGCCTCTTAACCTCTGTTTGGAAACTGACATGAAGCAAGTGCAATTAAAATTTTGCGCATCTATTAAATTTTCATTTCGCCTACACTGCTGTCATTAATTTTACAAAGTGAAAATGGCTACCTTTGTGTGCATGCGCAATGTGTTTATTCATCTGACTTCTAGTAAAGATCTACAGATTAACACATACTCTCCGGGGATTAGTTTAAACATATGTCTCCATTTTATCCCCTAGTTTTTTTTTTAAATGGACGTTATATTTTAAACAATATATAATCAGTTTAATTTAACGCTAGCTGGATGCCGGTTAATATGTAGGCATTCTTATCCATGAGGTTTTGGAATATATATTTGATAAGGTATTGGCGAAACTTAGTTTAGTTTGTCAAAAGGACTCACATACAGATCGAACAGTAATAAGGATTTGTGAAGTTGTTAACCATTTCTGGACAATGGGACGTCTTAAATTGTCTTTAAGTGACATGTCCCTGCAGGACGTAGATAACCCTCAACAAATTTTGAATGTTCTAATCTTCTTCGGAAAGTTATGGGAATGCTTTACGTTCAAACGTTTTTTCCACCTAAACTGGTTAAGGCTAGAGAACCAATTTTCATCTGGTGTTTTCGACAAGAGGAAAGAGTGAAGAAAGGACTAAGCACCAACTGTAAGAAAACAGAATGTGTGCTTGTTAGCAAGAAAAACATTCCAAGATTCGAACTGTGAATTGGAGATTTTACAGAAGTTTAAATATCTGGGAAATGTTTTAACAGAGGACGGAAAATGTGACACCGAAATACGAAGATGCATTGGGAATAGCAAAAGATGCCTTTCAAAAGCTCAGCAAAGTATTAAGTAACAGGAAAATTTCGTTAGAAACAAACTAAAAGAGTGCTTAACTCTTATGTAATGTCGGTCCTTACATAAGACTGAATGATGGACCATATCTGCACAGAGGAAGAAGAAATTTCGGACAACGTACATGTGGTTCTACAGAAGGATACTGAGAATACCATTGACTGAACATGTGAGCAACGAGTTCGAATTTCAGTCGGGTTCCTTACATTCACTTACGCATCAGAACCATTGGGAAAGGTATGAATCCCTTTCTTTTCTACAAAGCTATTGATTAAGCAGCAGGAGATACTGGTTCCTATAGCCTTGGTTGGTAACCAGTCTACCGAAACAAATAACGGCAGTCTGCTAAGGGAATTCTGATATGTCAATCATGATTCGAAAAGAGACATGATCGACCGAGCAAGCATTACGCATGGCACCCAAAGAAGAAAAGAATTTTGGAAGGAAGGATATGGCATTTAAAAATGTGTGTGTGTGTATATCTGAGAAAGCATTGTCTATAAATTTGACAATAAAAAGAATAATCTGAAAGACTCATTTGCTCTGGGAGGGTGACTCGTTGTGAGTTATCGGACTAAAGTTTCCCCTTGCCATGAAGTTGAAATAAATTGCATGAATTACTAGGTCTGCTGCTAGGAAAGTTGGTTCACTGTGTCGGGTAAGACACTTTTTCTTTCCGTATCCATCATACATATTTAGATGTCTACCATTCGTCCATGCTTCGAATATTGCTGTCCCACATGGCCTCGTGCTTCTGTTATATATTTAAAAATCTTGATAAAATCCAAAGAAAAACCTGCAATGTTATGGGTCCTGAACTGCCATCTCGGCTTTAGTTACTTTCCCAAATCTGTAATCTAGCTCCCCTGTGCTTTTTCAGTGAATACTTCCATGGTAACATCTCGGATGAACTCACTGCTACGATAGCTAAACTTTATGAATTTTAGCGCAGTACTGGATTGGCGGTAAGTTCTCATCATTTTACAGTTGAATTGGCAAGATATAACCGTAAGTTTTATGCTGTTTCTTTCCTGGCGGTTCTTGCTTGTGGGACTCTCTTCCGGTTCCTTCCTTTCCAATCAAGTTTGACATTTAAACATTTAAATGCTATGTCAATGGCCATCTAGTGTCTTTCTAATTTTTGTTCTTTTATTGTCTTCTCTTATTAGCAGTTTATTTTACTCATATTCTCTCCCGTTTAATAACACCTTGCATCTTCCTGGCTATATTGCCTTGCTTGGATGAAATGATACAAAAATTGAGAAACACTACTGTAATATAATCCTTTCTTCTAATTTCTCTGATAAAAAAGGGATTCAAGTTCGATTCCTGTTGGAGGCACATCGTTTCTTTAGTAGGATTTTTGTCAATCTAAATCGATTGTATAACAAAATTAATAAAAGAAAAACTGGGGTAGCAACTAAAACACGTTTACCCACTAAAAATATAAGTATGTGAAGTGCTACTGAAGGCATAATGGGAGGAAAGACGAGAAATATCGACTTCAAGAAAGAAATATTTCTAAAAGATGTAATTATATCTTGTTAAAGTGAATTGTCAGTAAGAATAAAGCAGGAAGAAAGGAATAACCGTCTATTATTAAAAAAAAAAAAAAACATATAATGTATAGCTGTCAGCTTATGAATTGAAGCGTAGTACTAGATTGGTCTCATTAATTAAAAGCTGCTTTGTCTAGATGGAACCGTAAGTTCTATGCTAACAATTTCTTCTCTCGCACTTCTAGCTTGTGAAACTTCCTTCTAGCTCCATGCTTTCCAGTAGACTTTTTAGGCTCAAAAATTTAGATGCAATGTCAATCGTTATTCTTCTTGATTACTCTTCTTCTGTTTTTCTCCTCACTCTTTTCTCTTATTATTTCACACTCACTAATCCCTTGTGTGTTAGTAGCAATACTACCTTGTATGGATATATAAATATATATATATATATATATATATATATATATATATATATATATATATATAAACCTTTTTCAGAGTTTGTCTGACGATCGCAAAAGCGTGAAACGCAGGATCACAGACTCACATCAATCCAACTAAATATGTTAGCTCTATCTCTGATATTGAACGCTTTTCAATAAGTTCTACGCATATAATATATAAATAATATATATAATATATTGCGCACACACACACACACACACACACATATATATATATATATATATATATATATATATATATATATATATATATATATATAATATATATATATATATATATATATATATATATATATGCTCTGAATGGTGATGGTAGTCGTGGTTCTCGTATGGGTAAAGGAAATTGGATGAGTTCCCCACGGAATATGTGAACGAGCGGCGCAATATCGAGTCTAATTCATTATCTCTTCGAGGCCCGTTAGTACAGTTGATATGATGTTTGCCTGTCAATGTAACTGTCCGGGTTTCAATTCTCGGTAGTGGATGCGCACTGCTGATGAGTCTCATATATAGGACGAAACGGCCGTCCAGTGCTTTCTGCATTCTGCTGAGGTTTCTTTCTAGACTCGATGAATTACTTAATATATATATATATATCCGAAATTAATATAGATAATATATATATATATATATATATATATATATATATATATATATATATATCTCCGAAATCAAGTAGATGACTCGAAATCTTCCATGTGACTTTATGAATTTACTACTAGATTGGCGGCAAGGTCTCATTATTTTACAGATGAAATGGCTAGATGCAACCGCAAGTTCTATGCTTATAGTTTCTTCTCGCTTGTAGAAAGCTCTTTCCAATCAATTTTGCGTTATCTTCTATCTTCTTAATTCAGGTTCTTTTCAGGTTTCCTCTCTTTAACAATGTTGTTTCTCCTTATTGTTCTATTACTGTCAATTATTCTTTTTTATGTCTTAGTGGCTTTATTGCCTTTTGTCTGGAAATTTAATAATGAATATTTTCATTATTTAAACTGCTTCCCAGTTCAAATAAATTATGTTTATTTTTTTGTCAAATTTTTCCTTAGTCAAAATCGGATATTAAATGCTATTATAATTTTCATCGATTCTCCAAAGGCGTCTAAATACTGTCTGAAAGAAATAAAGAAATGTTTTATTATTTTAGAAAATGGTGTCTAAGGACGACACAGAAATAAGTGGCTTCACTGATGGCATCTTTTGTTTATTTTTCTTTTTTCGTTGCTTTTTCTGGGTTTTTTTCCCCCCGCATTCTTCCATTCATGCTTTCTTTCTTTCTTTCTTTGTAGACTTATATTCCTTCTTTCTAAATTTCCTCCTCGTTGAATTATTTCTTTCTTTTCATCCTTCTTTTCTTCTTTTTTTTAAATCCTAATAATTTTATTTTTCTTCTTTTCTTTGTTTTACTTTCTCTCGTTCTTTGTTACTTTTTATGTCTCTAAATTCTTTCTTTCTTTCTTAGCCTTATAATCTTTATTTCTATATTTCTCCTCGATGCTTTCCTTCCTTCCTTCCTTCCTTCCTTCCTCTTCTTCCTTCCTTCCTTCCTTCCTTCCTCTTCTTCCTTCCTTCCTTCCTTCCTTCCTTCCTTCTTCCTTCCTTCCTTCCTTCCTTCCTTCCTTATTTTCTTCCTTCCTTCCTTCCTTCCTTCCTTCCTTCCTTCCTTCCGTCCGTTCGTCCGTCTGTCACTCCTTTCTTTCTGTTTTTTTTCCTTACTTTTTTTCTATATTTCTTCTCGTATTCTTTCTTTCCTTCCTTCCTTCCTTCCTTCCTTCCTTCCTATAATATTTTTTCCCTTTTGTAAATCCTAATAATCTTACTTTTCTTCTTTTCTATTTTTTATTTTCCTTCTTTCTTTCCGACTGTTTTTCTCTGAAAATTCCCCGTAATCTTTCTTTCCTTCTTTCTTTCTTTCTTTCTTTCTTTCTTTCTTTCTTTCTATTTCCTTAACTTTCCTTGTTTTAATAATTCCTTTACATCTGTTTTTCTTACCTTCTTTCTTTCCTTTATTAGGATATTTTCTTATCCTGTTCCATTAATTCGTTCCATCTTCTTCCATTACTTTTTCCATCACTTTTTCCTTTCCATCCTTTTTCTTCATTTTCATTCGATTTTTCTGCTGTTGTCGTAACTCTTCTCTCTTCATTTGTCACACATATACCTTCCTTCCTTCCTAGCTATCATCTTCCTTCTTTTCTTTATCCCTTCTTTCTTTCTTTCCTTCTTGGCTATCATTTTCTTTCTTTCTTCCCTCAATTCCTTCTTTCTTACCTATCATCTTTCTTTCTTTCTTTCTTTCTTCCTTCCTTCCTTCTTGTCTATCATTTACCTTCCTTCTTTCCTCACTTCCTTCCTTCTTACCTATCGACTTCCTTCCTTCCTTCCATCCTTCATTCCTTCCTTCCTGCCTTCCTTCCTTCCTGTCTATTATTTTCCTTCTTCTTTCCTCACTTCCTTCCTTCTTATCTATCATCTTCCTTCCTTTCTTCCTTTCTTCCTTCTTGCCTATCATTTATCTTCCTTCTTTCCTCACTTCCTTCTTTCTTACTTATCATCTTCGTTCTTTCGTTCTTTCCTTCCTTCCTTCCTTCCTTCCTATAATATTTTTCCTCCCTACCTGTCAACTCCCTTTCATCTTTCTTTCCTTCTTTCCTACCTATCGCAGTCGTTCGTTCGTTCCTTCCTTCCTTCATTCCTACCTATCTTCTTTCTTCCGTCCTTCCTTCTTTCCTCTTCCTTCCTTACTTCCTACCTATCATCGTCCTTCCTTCTTTCCTTTCTTTCTTCCTCCCTTCCTTCCTACCTATCATCTTCCCCCTTCCTTCCTTCCTTCCTTCCTTCCTTCCTTTCGTCTTTTCTTTCTTATCTTCTTTCTTCCTACCTTTCATATTCCTTAATTCTTTTTCTTATCTTACTTATAATTTTTATTTAAGCTGTTTATTCTTTCTTATTTTTCATTCTTTGAATTTTCCTTAACACCTCTTTCTTTCTTTCTTTCTTTCTTTCTTTCTTTCTTTCTTTCTTAGCCTTATATTCCTTCTTTCTTTATTTCTTCAGTGCATTCCTCCCTTCCTTCCTTTCATTTACCCCTAAATCGCTTTCTTATAATTTCAAGGTAATTTTTCTTACTTATTTTTCATTCTTTCTTTCTTTCTTTCTTTCTTTCTTTCTTTCTTTCTTTCTTTCGCTCGTTCGTTCGTTCGTTCCTTTTTAATTTCTTCTCTTTAGCCAATTGATACCTGCTAATTGCATTATTCCTTCTGCAGGTAGACTTTCCGTCGGCGTTTCTCGACACCCATGTGACCTCGACAAGGAATAGAGCTGTTACGATATTTGAGTGATAGAAAGGGCGCCAGGGTTAAACAAACAATGGCTATTGGCGAAGACAATAGAAAGAGAACAGGATACAGTTAAAAACAAAAAAATGTGAAAAAAAAACAACTAAAGTCGAAGCATGGAGAAAAGGAAAAAAAGGAGGCAAATATTGATGAAGAACAACAAAATGAAGAAGAAGAAGAGGAGGAGGAGAAAAGATGAAGAAAGGGAGAAAAAAGAATAAGGAAGAAGAAGAAAAAGAAGAAGAGTAAAGAAGAAGAAGAGAAAAAAGAAGAAGAAGGAAGAAAAAGGAGAAGAAGTAGAAGTGAACCAACAACAACAACAATAACACCAACACCACCGCCAACAACAACAACAAGATGAAAGAAGAAGAGGGAAGAAGAAGAAGAAGAACAACAACAACAACAACAACAATAACAACAGGATAAAGTAAGAAGAAGAAGTAGTAGAAGAAATAAGAAGAGGGAAGAACAACAAAATAATAATAAGAAGAAGAGTAAAGAAGAAGAAGAGAAAAAAGAAGAAGGAAGAAAAAGAAGAGAGAAGAAGAAGAAGAAGAGGACCCACAACAACAACAATAACACCACCACCACCGCCAACAACAAAAAGATGAAGGAAGAAGAAGAAGAAGAAGAAGAAGAAGAAGAAGAAGAAGAAGAAGAAAAACAACAACAACAACAATAACAACAAGATAAAGTAAGAAGAAGAAGAAGAAGAAAGAAGAAGAAGAAGAGGAAAGAACAACAAAAGAAGAAGAAGAAGAAGAAGAAGAAGAAGAAGAAGAAACTGATGATGATGATGATGATGATGATGATATAACAATACACCATACCAATGTAGGTAATTTCAATTCAGTTATGTGCCATGCATGATACACGCTTAGGCGATCATCTATCTTTCGATACATGACTGACGAGGCACATTTTTTTCCCGAAGTAGGTTGCCATTTCTTTCTGCGGTAGACCAGTTGCCACCCAAGGCTATAGAACCCGGTCTGTCCTACTATTCACCTATAGCTGGGGGTGGGGAGAGAAGAGGACTCATACCTTCTAATAAAGTTTGTAACATGATCGAACATGGATTCTTGCAGCCAGCAAGAAACTATTTTACTATCTTTCATGGAGATAAACTATTGCTACCATAAAACATTGCAATAATAAAAGGTTGCAAATGTTATTAGTCCTGCCGAATTTGAACAGAATACAGACCCCACACTATGTCTCCGCTTTTTAATGCTATACATGTTAAAAAAAAATGCACATTGACTTGCAGGTGCAGCCTAGTGATAAATGTCATCAGTTCGGGTAAAGTAGACAGTATCAATTTGGGGCGTTCCCATGTAACTTGATTTGACACCCAAGTCGCCATGGCTGCCTTATGATTCATACTTGGCATGAGGCGTAACAACTCTACATCACTCTGTTTCCGCCCTTGACAGAAATGTGTCAGCCCCTAAGGGAGATGCCCAACTGGTTAGGGTCAAGCAAATGAGCAGAAAAAAAATTGTGATATTGAACGGGATAATCCACCTAAACAAAATAGGTTCCCATCAATTAAGATGAAAAGGCACGAGAGCCATGCCTGAAGTAAAATCCACTTCTTCTTCTTCTTCTTCTTCTTCTCTGTCTTTTTTCATGTTCTTCTATCATATTCTTCTTCTTCCCATTATTATTATTATTATTATTATTTCTTTTGATTTCTATTGTATACCCATTTTCTTCCAGCTCCCAACCAGAGACCTAAGCTAAGAAATGGCTTCATGCCATTTTCCACTGATCGTTTTTGTGAAAAGAACAAAAACACAAAAAAATTACACACATTTTACATAGATAAAGCACATCGTAATATATGAGCTGTACTTTTGGGTACAGTTTTGTTATTTTTTAAGGCAAAATATAGGAATCTATTCAGTGAATCTATCGGGACCCTTTCCAATTATTATTATTATTATTATTATTATTATTATTATTATTATTATTATCGGCATTTAGAAAAAGAAATGGAAACAAAAAGTACATTTATAGTTAACTTCAAAAATAGTTAAAATTTCTAGGGAAAATAATGAGGAAAGAGGACTTGGGAAATTTAACACTCACAGCACATATTGAAGGAAGAGAGACAGAGGAATATTGGTAACAGGACAAGAGTTGGGGGAGATAGCAAAAAGACATGAAGAAGAAGAAGAAGAAGAAGAAGAAGAAGAAGAAGAAGAAGAAGAAGAAGAAGAAGAAGAAGAGCAGCAGCAGCAGCAACAACAATAATAACAACAACATCAGCAATAATAATAATAATAATGGCAAAAACGCAATAATAAATATATGGCAATCTGTATAACTCATATTTTATTTCCTTCATCAAACGGTGTCATCAAATTAATGGATTTTATTTCAACCAAATCTACATTGGCGAGGAAGAACGTAATTTACGTTAGTCATATAAACGCTGGATATTTTATTTATTTGTAAATGTTCCACGACCCCAATTATTTTATGTATAATGCCAAACGAAAAGCTTACAAAATCAATAGAAGAAAAATGTGTCTAAAAACAAACACTAGGCATATGACATTATCTGCAAACCTCATGGATAATACATCATAATCATTATCATCATCAGGTCGCGAATACTTCTTGGTTCTTTCCAACCATCTCTGTCAGACTTCGCCGTCGGCAGATGGCATCCAGATGGCATCCAGAGTCATCTACAAGTTGGTCAATGAAAGTGTGATGAGGTTTCCCAACTGAAATTTTGCCGTGTAATGGCTTCCAAAGGAGGGGGTGTCACTCACAAGTTCTAACTTATTTCTCCAGGAATGACCAGCTAGCCGAAGACCACCCCCATCCCCCCGCCTCTCTAATGCATTTTAGAGAAATTTAACTCATCTCAATATAAAAGGGATCTTCGCCCAGTTTACATTCCTTCCTCGTTTTTCGGACAGGAATAGAAGATATTTTTCTTTTATTCATTCTTTTTCTTTCTTGCCTTCATTCCTTCTTTCTTTCCTGAATTCTTTCAATCATTTTTATAGGTTTCTTTAACTTCTTTCTTTCCTGTATTTTATTTTTCACCTTTGCATTGCTTTCCCCATTCTTTTTCTTTCTCGGCATTCTTTCTTTCTTTCTTTCTTTCTTCATTCCTTCATTCCTTTCTTTCTATATTTCTCTTCGTTGCTTCCCGTCTTTCTCTTCTTTCTTTCTTTCTTTCTTTCTTTCTTTCTTTCTTTCTTTCTTTCTTTTCGTCGCTTCCCGTCCTTCCTTCCTTCCTTCCTTCCTTCCTTCCTTCCTTCCTTCCTTCCTTCTCCTTATTTTCTTCTTTCTATATTCCTGTTCGTTGTTTCCCTTCTTTCTTTCTTTCTTTCTTTCTTTCTTTCTTTCTTTCTTTCTTTCTTTCTTTCTCTTCTTTGCATACCGTCTTTCTTTCCTTCCTTTTCTAAATACCAATAATCTTATTTTTCTTCTTTTTTTTAATGTCCTCTGTTTCTGTCTTACTTTTTATATCTCTTTTTGAGAATTGGAACATGATGAGATTCGAACTATTTGCATCGTAGGTATATGTATGCTTATCAATATATATTACTTAGCTCTGTCTAAATACATTAAGCACTGTTTTGTTTACACCTTATATTCAATTGAATAAATATCTATTCGCTTACCTGTGTATGCAAGATAACGCATGTATATACGGTTGCTAATATCTAGTTATTTGATTTATATCCACATTAATAAACACACACTAACTCATATATCTTTAGGCATTAAACCTCGTAATAATAATGCCAATAACTCTCTATCGGAGAAACAGACTAGACGACATGCGTCTAATGAATGTCATCATTCACTTTAAAATAGACATCCCGACCCTACCTTGACCCTTTTCCGAAAGTAAATAATATGTTGATACAAATTGTTAACCCTTACGCCCCTTATTGAAATAATTGCTTCAGCCGTTTCCATAGTAATTAATTTTGCGTATGAACATGCTTATAAAGATGCGTAAATTTCAAGATTAGTTATTCCCAAAATTTCGCTTGAGGATGAAACAGAGCTTGATACTTTAATTCCATTTAATTTTAATAATTATATTGAAGTTTTTTACACTTGTTTTTGAAACATGAGAATTCTTATGTAGCGAAGGAATCATATTTAAAAAAAAATAATTATAAATTAGGCTCTTCTTATGTATTGAGCACTGTTTATTAAAAGTAAAAAAAAATACTAAAGAACTACGGATTATTTACCTAACGTCTTCTTTCCTATTTTTTTTTATATATTTGCCCACACACGCACACACACACACACACACACACACACACACACACACATATATATATATATATATATATATATATATATATATATATATATATAAAGTTTCATTCAATGATGAATCCAAGGTCCGAGCCATGTCCGGAAGTTATCTCTCGAATTTCTTTCTTCAGCCTATATATATATATATATATATATAGGTAACTATACTCGTTTCGAAAAACCCTCGAATTTTTGATTTGCCAATAATCAAATCAATCTCGAGGGAAAAAAGGTTTTAAAAAAGAAAGAGTTAGAAACATGAAAGTCTGTCGAAAAAATCGCACAGATACAGGTTCGAAGCCCAAAGAAAAAACCCCTGACACGAGTAAACAACTAACTAAAAAGAGCTCAATACAACCGTAGAGCAGACCTAGTCAAACTTAGTTAGCCAGACAAACCTACCCAGGTTTCCCCTAAGTGGATCGTCAGGGAAAGCTGGCTCTCCCTGACGATCCGCTTAGGGAAACCTGGGTAGGTTTGTCTGGCGCACTAGGTTTGACTATATATATATATATATATATATATATATATATATATATATATATATATATATATATATGTGTGTGTGTGTGTGTGTCTATGGATGACTATATATATATATAGGCTGATGAGAGAAATTTATTTTTATTTAGTTTTTACAGCGTTTTGGCTTTATTTTAAAGCAAATGATACAATTTCAGTACCTACAATGCATTTGCTTTTATTTTTCATAGACTATTTTTACTACCAGATCATTCTTAATTTGGATTCGTTTCTCCACAAATCATTTTTGCTAAATTTTGCATGAGAAACATTTTCACTATTAACTGCTCAGTAGACAATTTTTAAGATTAATAAAAAAAACAGGAGAGAAAACCAAATTACGAAAGTGACTTTGAGCTTTTTCATTGCTTGAAAAATACTTGGGAATGAATGCCATCTACTTTAAAAAAAAAACTGTTGAAAAGAAACCAAGAATTTCAAAGCAGTAATTAAGGCAGGTGGTGGTTTCATTGAGGAAAACAAAATATGATGCTGTTGTATAGTGCTTTTTTGTCGATATAAAACCAATACACTGAAATTTAATTTTTTACTTAAAAAAGTAAAAAAAAACATATTAAGCTCTTCTTTAAACAAATGCATGTTAATCCCAAAATTTTGCCTGTAGCGCGCACGCACGCACGCACACACACACACACACATACATACATACATATATATATATATATATATATATATATATATATATGCTCTAGGCAAAATACATACATATATATATTTTTTTTTTCTAAAAATATACATGTATGAGTATTTATATATTTTGCATATGTATATATATTCTCCACTAATATTATCTATATATATATATATATATATATATATATATATATATGTGTGTGTGTGTATATATATATATCAAATATGTGGTGCAGTTCAATTTATTTGTTGTAGGGTTTTAACTTTACTAATCTACTTTTTGTATGAATGATTTATGTACTATAAATTGAATTGCACCTCATATCTGATTTAAAAAAGAACTGATCGGACGAGCAAATTTTCGGGATAATAGCTGCAACATTACTCTATTTATTGAACAATTTAGTTCATGCCACATTGACTGCAAAAACCCTACATCAAAAAATTCTCATATTACCATATTAGTAAAAAAAACGCATATTTCCATTAACATTTAATCTTCCGTGTCCCGCTACTACCTGGATTTACTAAAAAACAAATTAATTTCCATGCCTGAGGATGGATGTAAGTACAGCCGAAAGTACTAGCAAAATAAAAAGAAGACCTTATACAACTTGAAGTTATTAAAAACAAGTATCATAACATTCATCGAGTGGTTCGTAGGTTAATGTAACTTTAATAAATTTGTTTGCGAAGATGTTTTTCGTCATTTATATCATTAACTTTACTAATCTACTTTTTGTATGAGATATGTATTTGTTACAAAAATAAAGAAGGTGAACTGCTTCAAATAAATTAGCCATTATAAAGAGGACAGAGTGGAAACGAAAAAGAAGCACAAAAAATGTGAACGAGATATGGAAGACAAAGAGAATACCAAAGGTTAATGTAACTTTAATAAATTTGTTTGCGAAGATGTTTTTCGCCATTTATATCATTAACTTTACTAATCTACTTTTTGTATGAATGATTCATGTCACACACACACATATATATATATATATATATATATATATATATATATATATATATATATATATATATATGTGTGTGTGTGTGTGTGTGTTGAAACAATAAAATCTATACTTCCACAAATGCAGCTTCACCAATTTCGATGACAATGAACAATGCTATTTCAATCTACGATTGGGGCTCGTTGCCAAACCGATCAAAGGTGTGTAAATATCCGATACCCCCCTTTGTGAAGAGGGTAACTTACACGCTACCCCACTACTAGCACTACTGCAAATGATATACACCATTCCAACCCCTTCTTAAAACAATAGATTACCTCAACACTTACTCTCTATCGTAGACCCCTTTCACACACTTTTCATCACGACATGTGATGAAACCCCAGAAAATACAGAGTGACCTCCCTTGTTTCTTTTTATATTGAATTTCTGATACTATCATTTCGGTTTGTTTTACACGATTGTTTTAGTAAGATCAATTGCTTTCTGTCTGTATTGGAGCCAAATCTCGTTCTCGTGTGACGTTCGCGGAAAATGTAATAGATTTGAGCTGACATCTGACCGGCAGTGTCCATGGAATAAAAAAAAAGAAAAGGAAAAAGGGCCAAGAATTCTAGGAAAAATGTTGGACTGATCCCTAAGTGTTTGTTTATACTTTTATTTTTTTAATCTTTTGGCTGTATGTTTATTGTCTGCTTCATTGATTATATATATATATATATACATATATATATACACACATATATATATATATATATATATATATATATATATATATATATATATATATATATAGAGAGAGAGAGAGAGAGAGAGAGAGAGGATTCTTAGTGTTTTATCTTCTGTATTTTTAGGATTGCTTGTTAGTATAACAGGGGGTTATAAAATAAATGATGAAACAGAAAGATCTAGATACGAAATCAAGATTTATGGTCACACAAAGAAGACGAGAAAAAAGAGATTTCTGGTTAAATAAAAGTAATATCTAGAAACGAAAGATAGTTGAAAGGGGACAAGAGAAGATTCTGCAAAAAAATATAATATCGAAGAATAAAAGGTGAATTATATGACTAAATACTTTTATTTCATTTTCTTTATGAGATATGTATTTGTTACAAAAATAAAGAAGGTGAACTGCTTCAAATAAATTAGCCATTATAAAGAGGACAGAGTGGAAACGAAAAAGAAGCACAAAAAATGTGAACGAGATATGGAAGACAAAGAGAATACAAATGAAAATCAAATACGATAAAAAAAATGAAGTAGAAGCCGGGAAAAATAAGAAAAGGGAAAAAATGCTGAAAACAAGAAAGGTAAGAATAAAATGGGGAGAACAAAAAAGAAAAAAATGCAAGAAAAACATGAATAAAAAAAGAGAACAAAAGTAGGATATGAGAGAGAAAGAAAGAAAGAAAGAAAGAAAGAAGAATTTAGAATCAAAGAAAGACTTGGAATATAAAAAATTAAACATAGAGAAAGAAAGAAAGAAAGGTCGAGAGAAGAGCGAAAAGAAATTAATGAAAAAAAGAAGGAAACATTAGAAAGTTAAAAATGAAAACGGAAATAAAAGAAAGAGAGGTAAACAACTTCAAATAAATTAAGAAATAAATAAAGCAAGAAAGAGAGAAAGAAAGAGAAAAATAAGAGAACAATCATGAAAAGAAAGAAAGAAAAAAAGAAAGAAAAAAAGAAAGAAAGAAAGAAAGAAGGGGTAATAATTAAAGTGAAATGAAAAGAAAAAAGAAGAAAAATGTTAGAATTTTAGAGACTGGAAATATAAAAAAAATGAAAGTATGACAAAAGAAAGGTTGAATTGGAAAGAGAGATAGGAAAAGGGAAAATGAAAAAGGAAAGAAACAAACAAAGAGAAGTTCAAAATAATATCAAATAAATGAAAAAGAAAGAGAAAAATAAGTGAATAATATGAAAAGAAAGAAAGAATGAAAGAAATAAAGGGAAAATGGGTGAATAAATTA